GGCGTCCACGCAGCTGCTCTCGCCCGGGCTGCCGCCGGGGCTGCCCGCCAGCCCGTAGCGCTCCAGCGCCTCGGCCACCAGCTCGCGTGCCGTGGAGCGCGCAGTGGCCAGCACGCTCTTGTAGTTGGCGCCCGACGCCAGCCCGGCGCCGAAGATCTTGAGGACCCCCGGGGGCGCCGTGGCGCGCGTGACCAGCGGGGGCTCGGGGGCCACGCCCGCCGCCAGCTCCGGCAGCTTCTTCTCGCTGGCCCAGCGCTGGGCGCCCCCCGGAGTCCCGGGGCCTCCCGCGCCGCCGGACCCCGTGGCCCCGGTCCCCGAGCCCCGAAAGAGCTGGGAGATGCGTTTGGCGCGACTCCCCGAGGCTCCCCCGGCCGCCTTGACCGCGCCCACTCGCCGCAACTCCACGTGCGGCGGCGGCGGGGGCAGCGGCTCGCTACTGCGACTCCCCGTGTCCGAAGAAGACGACCTGGGAGCCCGCCAGGGAGTGGAGAGGCGGGAGAAAGACCCAGAAAGACAGGAAGAGAGGGGAGTAGGTGGTAGAGAAGGAAGGAGGTGGGAAAGACCCAGATGGAGGGGACAGAGACCCAGGGAGGAAGAGATCAGGGACAGACACCCAGGGAGTGACAGAGACCCATTGAGAGGGCACAGAGAACCAGAGAGAAAGGGCAACAAAAACCAGGAGAAAGAGAGGGATGGAGGCCCAGAGAAAGAGGGAGACGGGAGACAGAGACCCACAGAAGGGAGAGAAATGCGGAGGCGGTGGGGGGGGGACGACAGAGATGGAGTAGGGCAGAGGCCAGAGGCAAAGAGAGAGAGAGAAATACATAAATAAAGGCGAGTCCCCCAGTAGGAAATTCCAAGAAGTAAGCAGGGAGGGGAGGAAGGAAGGTGAATCAAACCCCTGCCCCCGTGTCCCCATCCCGGTGTCCATCCAGCCTAACCCCATCTCCAGACCCAGCACTCCCCACACTGGGCCCGGGAGCACTGTGGCCCACTGTCTCCTCCTGCCTGTTAGCTCACTTGCCCATTCAGGACAGGAACTGGAAGCCAATCCTTGGGGCCCCTGGCATTACCCAGCGCTGAGACTGGGTCATAAACAGGGACAAATGGGAAGCAGTTGGGGCAGGGGTGGGAGTCTCAAGGGGGTGAGCACTCACTTAACAGAGGCAGCGCTGGGCCAGCGCCGCCCCAGCTTGGCCAGCTGCTTCCTGGGAGAATTGATCCACAGGCCCACGGGGAGATGGAGCTTCCCGAAGCGGGGGCTTCCGCCCTCCTTCCGTTCACCAGATAGCATGGCCCTAAGGAAGGGTGGGTAAGACCCCAACACCTGAGGCCCTGAGTGGCGGGGTTGGGATGGAGGGGGACTCCTCAGTCAGAGAGGGGGCTGGGGCTCAGACTTCTGAGTCCGAGTGGAGGAGAAGGATGGGAGCCTAGACTCCTGGGTGCTGGGATGGGAGGTGGCTGGGACTGGCTCCTGGGTCTGAAGGAGGAGGAGTCTGGACTTCTGGGTCCCTGGTTCTTACCCTGCTTCAGGTCCCAGCAGCACCCCGGGGCCCTGGCTCCGTTGGCCCTGGTTGGTTCCTGACCCCGCTGCTCCTGTTCAGCCTTTGCCTCTGCCCCAGCTCCCAGCACTGGGTGGGGGACAGGAAAAGGCGAGAGGAAACCCGGCAGGAAGAGCGGGGAGGGGGCGTCCTGTGAGGGGACTGGGCCTGGGGGAGGAGATCTGGGTAGGGCTGGCCTTTCCCCGCTCCTTGATTCTGGAATTATATCTCAGCCGGTTGGGCCCTTCCAGGACTTCGGAGCCAGCTTCCCCGCCCCTCCTGCCAGACCTCTCCTCTGGGGAAACCAAAAATTAGGATCAGAGCAGAGGAATGAGTCAGATATTTATTTAGACAACCAGATAAATCTTTATTTCGGCCTTGATGGTGTGGCTTTTTCCTCTGGAACCTGGGGCTGCTTGGCAGGCTCCTTCTTGGTGTCGAAACAGGACTTGATGGAATTGATCACCTTCTCAGGTCGAAAGCAAAGTATCCTGGGGGGAGGGTGGGGTGCAAATAGGGGAACCAGATTAGGTCCTGACTGAGTGAGGGACACCCCTCCCAGCCTCCCTATATTTTATCTAATTCTAGCAGTGACCCAAGCTTAGTCCACTAGGTAAGGCCCACCCTATTTTCTAAGCCCCATCCCCAACGGAAGTACAGCTCTCAGTATTTCCCTAGCTCCCAGACCCCCTCCTGCGTTAGGAAGTTGGAAATCCCGCCCCTTGCTCCAAGCCCTGCCTTCTTCAGTGGGCGGCTCACGCGGTCGTAAAGCCGATTATCAGCACCACAAAGCCCCAGATCAGCAGTCCTATCAGACGGCCTCTCAGCACGTTCTCAGACTTCGGACACTGCGTCGGCGTAGGCTGAATGGTTGAATCCCCCTGACCTGGGGCCTGCCCACCCTGGCTGATGTTTGACGGTAGCTCTTCAGAGATCCTTCCGGGCAACACTGATAGAAGAGAGGGAAGGAGCAGTCCTGGGAGGGCATGAAGGTCCCGCCCTGGCCAAGGCAAGCCCGCTCTACTCCAGCCCGCCCCGAGGAGAGAATCACGCCCCTAAGTGCGTGAAGCCCTGCCACTGTGGCGGGAGGGCCACACCCAGGGCACGAAGCCACACCCTCGTGGCCTGAAACCACACCCCAACAGAAAGTTAAGCCCCGCAGACCACGCCCCTGGAGCTGACTGCTTCCACCCCCAGGACCCTGAGTCCCACACTACTGTCAAGTCCCCAGCACTAACCTTTGACTTGATAAAAGATGATCGTGGCTGGGATGGATCGCACACTGTCCAAACTGCAGCGGTAGACACCTGCATCCTCTGCAGTCACCGCGGTCTTGATCAGGGTGGAATTTTTCCCCTTGGACAGCAAGGTCTCAGAATCTTTCCCCCAAACCTAGACCCAAGCTCAAGGGGTCACAGAGGCCTGGGGAATTCAGGGTTTGGGGTTGTACAGGGGTGAGATCATCACGGGCCTCATGGTGGGGGACATGGGAGTCCAGGGTGTACTGGTCAAGACATGGGGTCCCCGGGGATCAGTAGAAGCCAAACCTGGTAGGTCATGGGTCATAGGGATTGTGGGTGCAAACCTGTGGATACAGGGATCAGGGGGCTCACACAAGCCTGATGGACTTGGGGTTCAAGGGTTACAGGACTTAGAGGGCCCCACCCTGAAAAAGCTGTAATCGGTCAGGCCTTGAGAGAGTCGATGCCAGCTGAGCTCACAGTTCAGGATCAAGTCTTCCATTTCATGGACTATGACTAGGCGCACTGGGGAGAGGGGATTACGGTGAAGTTCGGGCCCTTCCTCAACTCCCTCCCACTTGGTCTCGGCCTTGCCTTTTCTCGCCTGCCGGCTCCAGGCTCCCCCACCTCTAGATTCAGTCTCTCCCCTGGCTCCCCCCCTTTCGCGCCGACCCCCCTCCTGCTGGCCCCAGCTCTCTCACCCCCGCAATCAGAGCTCTTTCGACAAGTGTGAACCTGCTTCTGGCAGGTATTGCACCAGATCAGACTCTGCAACATCATACCTGAAGGGGCAGGATCAACGCTGTATTCGCCCTGAGAGGCGAGGCTAAAAGGGGAGGGCAGGGTCAAGGGCTGGGGCGGGGTCAGGGGCCCAATCCCTAGGAGGTCAGCCCAAGGGGCGGGGGTAGAAGGCAGCCCCGCAGGAAGAGGGATGGAACCAGGCTCGGTAAAGAGCGCAAATAGAATATGATGCGCTCCCCAGTAAGTGCGCAGTGCAGAAGGAATGTGGAACCTCTCAGACGTGGAGAATGAAGAAACATCGAGACCCAAAGGGGGAGGAGAACGGCTGGCTATTAACGGGGCGACCATGAGGGATAGAGGACCAGCTCCCATAATCCGCACTCACCACATTTGTTGGGACAAAAAGCTGCGTCAGAAGAAAGAAAGAAAGAAAAAAAATGATTATCATATTTCTAAGTTAAAGGAGATGAGAGAGGGCAAGGGAATAGGTTGGGGTTTGGGCTCTTGGGTTTGAGGGAGGAAGAACCCAGGTGCCTGGATCCCTGGGTCCAAGGGAGGGCGGAGCTGGGAGAGCTGAGGGGCTGGACCTGGAGAAGCAGGGGGCTGGGGTCAGGGACTCTGGGACTGTTGAAGAAAGGGGCTGTGGTCCCTTACGGACTCCCATCTTCCCTCACCCTCTTTTTGGAACTGAGCTGCAAAGCGGGCAAACATATCCTTTTGCAGGTGCAACATCCAGTACATCTCCTTCACGAAAAGTTCACCTGGGGAGGAGCAGAGTGACACACAGTGCTTCCCCTCTCCCTCACTCATCCCAGGAGTGAGGTACAGGAAGTCTGCTTCTGTCGGAAGAGCCTGGCATTCCACTTTGGGGTCTTCTCCGGGAGGGACAATGAAATTGACCACTTAACATAATGCTGGCCACTGAGCTAAGGGACAGCTGGGACTGTTTGGATCTTCATTTTAGAAGCGACAAAGCTGCGAAATCCCTCACTCAAGGCCACACGGTTAGGAGATGACAGAGCCGGAATCTGAACCTAGGCAGTTTGGCTCCAGAGCCACTACCAGACCAGTTGTCACCAACTATCACTTCTCCGGAAGATTCTGGAGCCCCTCCGCTGGCCCCTCTGTGCATTTACCTTTTACATTACTGTCTGTGATACGTCTCAAATCCTTCAGAAAACTCCAGGATGCCTTTTCCAGTGTGGGCTTATCTGGAGGGGTGGGAGGTGGGGATGCAGGGAGGGAGAGATAGAACTCCAGATTCCAAGCCTCACCGCCTCATTGGCTCGCCTATTCTTAGAAACTACAATACCCATGAGGCTACTGGGCAAGGATAGGCCTGGTAAAGGGATTGTCCGCCCTTGCCTTCTGGGAGTTGTAGTTGTTTTGTTTTGTTTTTTTACACAAACTTGCAGCCTAAGCGATGGGGAACACAGTATTTACTAGCCTTGGGTAAGGCCCAGAATCTGCATTCCAGCCTTCTACATTCCCGAACCCAGTAAACTCTGCCTCCATCCCTGCCCTCCCTGCCTCCGCCCCCAGCAATCCTAGCCACAGACCCCTCCTTTCCCAGGACTCAGGATTTCCACACTCTTCCCTGCCCTCACCGATAACCCCCATATAGGAATCCTCTTCAATTGGCAGGTCCTTGAAATCCATCACGGCTTGTTTTACCCTTTGCATAAAGCTTCGGTGACGATCGGCCGCCAGGCGGCCGGGCAGGTAATCCGTCTCCAAGGATTTTAGCGCCTCCACGACTTTTGCAGCACATAGGATACAGCCCCGGGCAGGAAGCAGGCAGCCGGCCAGCGCCGCCACCAGGAGGGGAAGTTGCGGACCCATTGAGGCCAGAGCGCTCAGTCCGCGCAGGGGGAGGGGGAAGGGGAAGGGTCCTTTCGCCCCAAACGTTCACGCTAAGTGGAGAGAAACCCTTCCCCGAGACTAAGCCCCCCAATTTGCAGGGCGCACACTTCTCGGTTAGGAAACCGAGGTGTCCGGAGACCCGATGCGCCCTCAACAGCCGCTGCCCGACCTTGACCTTGAATGTTGTACCCTCAAATACTAGGGTCCGCTGAAGAGCCGAATCCAGGCTGAGGGCTTTTAGAGAGGAGGAGCAGGCCACGGCCTTCCACTCTGCTATTTTCCCATGACTAAAATTAAGGATTTTGTTGGGGGTGAGGGTGAGGTCGGTCGCGTGATATGGAGAGCTTTCTGACTGGAGTCACAGTCACCGTTCGCCCCGGTCTAGGAGGAATTCCCACAGCTTCCCCCTTCTAGCTTCCCACGTGGGGCCCCAACTCCCCAAAAGATACTCCCTGGGAGTTTTCTCGGCCCCGCCCACAAGCCCAACGCTGAGTCTGATAGGACCGCAACAAAGGGAGACTCCGCCTATCGTTCCATGATATCACAAGAGGTGGCCGTCCTTTCAGACTAGAATTTTCCCAGCGTCTACCGAGAGGAAAGTTATCTTGTCCCTTCCGACTTCTAAAGCCAAGGAAAGGGCTTCTGGGCTTCAGCTTCCTCCCGTCCCCGGATCCAGGCTTCCGGCTAGGTGCACGTGGCCTTTTGGAAACTTGGAGTCGAGCCACGAAGATGAGGGAAGTGGCCCTTTCTAGCCCTAGGACTACGACTCCCAGGAGGCCCTGGGCCTCTCCCTGGCCAGCCAGATGGCTATATGGGAAATGTAGTTCCAGAGTTACACACTTTGCTCACTCCCTCCTTCACCTTCTCTCCCTAGCCCAAGGGGCTTGATGCCAAGGTTCCAGAAGAAAGAGGCCTAGAGCCAATAGTGAGAAACTGGGGCTCTACAGGTCCTGGAAGGTCTCTCCTCTTCTGCATCATTGAAACAGGCCACCAGAAAAACAGGCAGCACTACTCACCCAACTCTGAGAACAAGAGGCTACCAGATCTGAGCAGGACAATATCCCTAGACATGAATAATGAGTCCCTGGCAGTTCCGAACCTTTCCTCCTACACACACACACACACACACACACACACACACGACTCCAAAAAACCTGCAGACACAGGAGTTGGCGATGTGGACTTTTAATTCATACCTCCCTCTTCCCCACCTGGAGCAGCTGAATAGGGAATGATCCCTCAAAACTCCCTGAGAAGACTAAAAAAGGGGTCTGCATTCTTCTGGGTAAACAGGAGATGCTATCAGAGTTGTCTGCAATAAAGATAGCTAGCCACCTTCACCCCCTTCAAAAAGCCTCAAGGGGTTCCTGAAATCTGAGTCCAGAATCCCATCCTCCTTGGCCAAACCCTGTGCTCCTTCCTGCCTGGGTTTGAGGACAGTCTGGAGTCTGAATACCCTCAGATTCTTTCAAACCCGAAGCCAGGTTCTGTGAAATAGGGGGCAGACAGGGGTTGGCAAGGGACACAAGGCCAGCTGCTTTCTATAAGCCCAAAGGAAACATTCATGCCGGCTGAGTTCCAGAAAATCGATCCCATCATCACCCGCCCACCCCCAGCCCTGCAGCGAAGGAGGAAACGTCTGTAATTGGGAGAGGCGACCTAACTCAGAGCCACCTTGTGGGGTGCTTGTCTTTGGCAGTTTTTGAGCTTAAAAAAAAAAGAGTTCCTACATTTCTGGAAAACTTTGCTCCAGAAGCTGCTGCAATTCAGCAGCCGTCCCCCTCCCCCACCTCCCATGTTTTCGCCTATCTGCTCAAAAAAGAGTCTTGGTCTTTTTTTTTCCGGGGCTGAGAGGTTGGACAGATTTCGGGTCTGCTTGCAGCTACAGGGAGTTTGTCTTCCACCAATCTTTCTGGCAGTGGTTGAGGCGTTGAGCTTCGGATTGTACCTTCCTGAGATTCTCCTGGAATTCCAGAACTCCATCCCCTCTGGAAGAGCCCTGCAGGATTCTTCACAGGCACTAGAATTGACCCTCTCTAGAATGGCTGCATGAAACACAGAAGGGGAGTTGGTGAGTGCTTGCTCTAGAATACCCACAGATTCCTTCAGTCCTGGAGATGAACCTCTCTTCTAGAAAAGACCAGGGGCAACTTTAGAAGGGGGAGTTGCCTGTTCTTGGGGTGCAGCCATCTAGAAGTACTCCAGATATGGGCTGGGAAGAGCAGGTAGGCATTGCCTTCTAGAACTGACATGAGCCTCTCTAGGCATTGCCAACCAACAAGAAAAGATCTTTTGCTGGTTCTAGAAAGTCCAGACAGCTACAGAAAGCCCTCTTTTCTCTCCAAGCTGCCAGGCCTCTGGAGATGCATAAATGCTGGCCCAAGACTGATCAGCAATTCCAGAAAGTCCCCCTGCTGCTCAAGGCCCTGCCAGCGACTGGAGTGCAGACAAGTCCGCATTAATACCCACCCACTCGGGCAGGAAGGCGGCCTCGGGCTTAAAGATCTTAAGGAAGTTGGAGTTCGGCAGGGTGAAGTTGGCCAGGTAGACAGTGTCTCCACCGGCCAGGTAGGCAGCCCAGAAACCAAAGGTCCCAATGGTCATGATGCTGTGGTTACACTGCGTGAGCAGCGCAAAATCCTTCCCTCCTGCCCGTCGCCAGCAAAGATCACATCCCCCCGGGAGGCGTCAATGTTCTCCCGACACCAGGCCATGCCGTTGCTGACGACCACAAAGATGGGGGCTTCGTGCCGGGCCCGGAGCCAGTCCATAGCCTGCTGGAGGTAAGCGCGATCGCCCACCACACCCTTCCAGCGATGGGGCATGACTTGCAGGTAGTCCCCCCGGGCGCACGTGGACACCCACAACGGTGCGAGGACGGTCCCCCGTGCAGCCCAAGCGGAGCTGGCTCAGTAGACCCTGGGCCTCCTGCCGCAGGTGTTCGTGCAAGGTGAACTCGCGGCGGATCTGGGCACGGAGATGGTGGAAGAAGGTCCAGGAGCAGGGGAAGCCCGTGAGCTTCAGAAAGGCATCCTCCAAGTGGGCATAGTCCTCCGACATCTAGTCATGCAGCTGCAGCTCCCGCCATGGCATGTGGCCGTCCACCTCGGGGGCCAGCACGGGCAGGGTGATGCGGAACACGGGGGCGAGGGCGGCATGCATGGCGGGCAGGATGAACGCCTGGCGACCGTTGAGCTGGGCCAGGGCCAGCAGCGTGGCATACTGCCCCATCTGGTTACCGAAGCGGCCGTCTGGGTAGATAGTCCAGATTCCTGAGAGGGAGGCAGGGGGCTTGAGACAGGGAAAGGAGGTGTTGGGGGCCATCGGTGATCCCGACAGGCAGAAGATGGCCACGGGGGGTGTCAGGAGGCGGTGGTCTGGACACAGGGCAGTGAGGTCTAGGCCACTGTGAAACAGGTCTTGGTGGATGTGGAGGAAGAAGACGGCTGAAAGAACACAGACTAGCAGGAAGGTCAGACAGAGCTGCCGTCGGCTGGGGGCCCACGTGGCTGCACAGGAGGAAAGGCGAATTAGCAGGTGCTCAGAGCCCCAGGACGAATGTCAGGGAGCAGAGGACGGGCAGGAGGAGGGTACTAAGGATTCAGACTCCTGGGTCCGAGGGAAGGGGAATCAGGGTCCTGGATCTGAGGGAGGAGAAGCGAGGAGCTTGGAATTTCCAGGGATGGGGATGGGAAATGGTGCTTTCCAAGATAGGGTCTAGGATCCAGCATCTTTTTCCACATCTTGGAATCTGGCTCCCCAGGCCCCGAAGGCCCACTGAAGCTGGGCAATGTTCCACCAACTCCCTTCTCAGGTGTACCTGGGTGGTGGGGGTGGGGTGGGGAGGAGATGGGCAGCCTCCACCATGGAGGTGACAGGCCAAGCAGAACAGGGGAGGCTGGGAATGGATGAGGGATCTTGGTTCCTGGAGGAGCAGGAGTTGCGGGTGGGGTGGAGACTCCCGGGGTCCTAAGGGGCGAGAGGTTGGGGGTGCAGTTCCTGGGTCCCAGGCATCCGCTAGTCCCACTCACCTGAGCTCCTGGCGGATGGCAGATCCGCCGTCGGCTTGGCGGGGCTGGAGCGCGCCGTCCTCAAGTGCAGCCCACATCCGCCCGCCCCCGGAACCCCGAACTCCAGGTCCCAAGGTTCAGCAGACCTCCCCTCCATGCCGCTTCCCCCGACTGGCTCCAAGGGCTCGGGGAAGAGAGAAAGGAGATGGGCGCGGTTCCGAGGCTCGCAGCCTCCGCCCCTCCCGGGCGAAGCAGGTAGGTCCGAGGCGGAGCCCCGCCCCCGTCCTGACGCCCCAGGCTAGGGTGGTAGCCCCCGCCCCCTGCCCTCCCCAGACCCGGGACCCTGCGCCCAGCCCCCTCCTCCTCGGCCTCGGCCAGCCACAGGGCTCTCCAGGGCCGGCCTACCTGGCCTCCAGCAGCGGTATCCTTCGTGGACGTGGACTTCTAGCGCCCAGACGCAATGCTCGACCCAGGTGCTCGGGTCCATCGACTTCTCCCCCTTCTCCGGCGCCCGGGCTCACAGTCTGCCCGGGGTACCTGGATGGTCGGAGCCCGGTCGGAGCCCGGCCACTCCCCGGCCGCTAGGGAGGACCCGGACAGCAGGCCCGCGCGGGGAGGAAGATCCTCCGCCCTCTGCCTCGTCCTGCCGGTGGGGGTGAAGAACCTGTTCTCCAGGCTGCTCCTGGAGCGGATGGAAAACCTCCTCCAGCTCTCAGGGTCCCAGACGTGGGAGCCTCCGGCCGTAGGTGTCCCCGCGCACAGCAGGGGCCGCTGATCCCCCAGGTCGGCGCCGTGCACCTGCAAATTCCAGAGTCGCGGCCCCCAGCCTCTCCTACAGACGGAGTGGAGGATCTGGCCCCTGACAGCTCCTTTCTAGAAGGGCACCTCCTTTCTAGAAGGGCACCTGCCGGAGGCAGGCTCTCTCCCGGAGCACAGGAAGGAGCAAGCGGGCGTGGAAGCCAGTTTATCTTCCCAGCCTCCTGGTTGGGGTCCAAGGCTTCCCTCTGCAGCACACCTGAAGCTGTTCCCATGGTCAATGTGGCCCTACCCACCCCCACCCCCACCCTGGCCGGAGCACGGTGACCGTAGGCATTCAATAAATCAAACCCAGGAATTTGACGTCACTCTCCAGAGATTTGACCCTAAATGTCTCCAGACCCAGGAGTCCGGCCCCCAGGCCTCCCCTTCCTCAGACGCGGGACTTCCAACCCCAGCCTCAGACAGAGAAGTTCAGGTCTCCAGTGCCCTCCTCCCTCGGCCCCAGGTGGCCAGCCTCTGTACCTTTAGTTTCCAGGAAACTGTCCACCCCCTCATTCCCTTTGGGCTCTTGCCTCTCATTTCCCCCTCCAGAGCCTGGCTTGGCTACCAACGCTGAGTCAGAGACTCTCACCCTCCCCCCTGCCCCACGCTATTTTGAGAGCACTTTTCTGGGCCTGGAGGTAGCTTCTTTGGTGAAAGAAACACCAGGATTGGGGCGCCTGGGTGGCTCAGTTGGTTAAGCGACTGCCTTCGGCTCAGGTCATGATCCTGGAGTCCCGGGATCGAGTCCCGCATCGAGTCCCGCATCGGGCTCCCTGCTCGGCAGGGAGTCTGCTTCTCCCTCTGGCCCTCCCCCCTCTCATGTGCTCTCTCTCAAATAAAATAAATAAAAAAAATCTTAAAAAAAAAAAAAAAGAAACACCAGGATTGCATCAGGGAGGAGAGAGAGGCCGGACGTTTGGTGCAGGAGGAGCGTCTGGGCTGGGATTGGTGAGGTTGAGGTCAGGACTCCTCTGTCCCAGCAGAGGACGCTTTGGTCATGTGGCATTCACTGCCTTCCTGATGATCAAGGAATGTCAGCGTGTGACCCCAGAAACCTAGAAATTCAGGTGGCATGCAGAAATTCCAGTTATGGGACTCAGTCTGCGTCCCCGTCAGCCAGGGAGGCAGATTTCCAGGCCCCCCCCGCCAGGCCTCCCCTCCCTCAGACTCCAGGGGTCCTGGCCCCCAGCCCCTGTCACCCAGGTCCCAGTTCATCAGACCCCTATCCCCCTGATTCCTCAGACTCGGGAGTCCAGGCCCCCATCTGGAAGGACCCCCTGATTGCATCATCCGTTCAGCCTGATCTGGCCACGGTGGAATCCTAGCTCCTGCCAAGTGGGTCAAATATCATGGGTCAGGTGTGGGGGAGGGTGATTGGGCGGGTCTGTCTGGATATAAATTTTGGAGTCCCTGCATCCATTCTAAGAGACCTGGGTATTCGGTTCAGCTGGGAATCCACGCGTGAGCGGACCCAGGCGTTCAAGCTGCGATCCGTGGATCTGCTCTCCCAGACAGCCAGGCTCTGAAACAGAATCTACACCATTCCGCTCATCAAATCTCAGACCCCAGATCTCGCCTGAGGACGTGAGCCATGATGCGCTGGGAGGAGGCCAGGTCTGAGCACTTGGGGCTGTGGGTCCCTGTGCTGGCTGTCCTTTTGCTGGAAGCCTGCCGGGCACACCCTATCCCTGACTCCAGCCCCATCCTCCAATTTGGAGGCCAAGTTCGCCAGCGGTACCTCTACACGGACGATGCCCAGGAGACAGAGGCCCACCTAGAGATCAGGGCTGATGGCACGGTGGTGGGGGCTGCCCGCCGGAGCCCCGAAAGTGAGTGTGTAGACCAGGGCCTGGTCTGAGGGAGGAGGGGCCGGAGGCCTGGACCCCTGGGTCTGAGGAAGAAGAGGGCTGAGGCCCTGCAGTCCTGGGTCTGAGGGAGGAGGGCCTGGGGGCCTGGACTCCCGGGCCTAAGAGAGAGGGGCCTGGGGCGCCTGGGTGGCTCAGTTGGTTAAGCGACTGCCTTCGGCTCAGGTCATGATCCCAGGGTCCTGGGATCGAGTCCCGCATCGGGCTCCCGG